AGTATACTTTTCAAAATTTAGATCCTTATATTCGTACGGAAGGCGATATATTGATTTCCTTTCCAGATTCATTCTCAAGCAAACAGATAGACAGATATTCACCTTTATGTCTCTATGGAAACACGACAGGTACCCTTACGAGGGGAGAGTATCAACTCGGCGTTTATAAACCCTCTCTGCAAAGGAGGTCGGCGCATGGTGGGTTAGGTATATACAGTGTTTTTCATTGCAGAGAAAATCGTTGTTTATCTGCCTACCTCGTCTGCATTGAGAGAGTTGATCAATAATCATAAAAATATATCGCGTTTCAGTTACGAATGTTGAAAACAATATTCAGACTTCGTAGATTGATATTCTATGAACGTGTCACGATTCAAATTTCAAATTAATTGATGCTTAGTTTTAGATCCGAGTAGCACATTGTTTGGCATTCATGTTCTTCATTAAAACCCACAAAATTGAAAATGTTGAAGATGTTGGCTGGGAGAACCAGTATTAAAAGCGAGTGTAAAGCAATCCAGTTACGGTTGTTGGAAATATTATTCAGGTATGTTTCAGATTCAACATCAGTTTTAATTCTCATGGACATTCTGATATGTGATGTTGAGTTGCAGGTCCGAAAAGCGAAGTGATTGATACTTGTCAATAAATTAGAGAAAACAATCCAGTCAAGACGGACCGAACAGAAAATCCGCAAAAAGAACTAACTAGAGTGAACTCTTCAAAATTCAGATCCTTATATTCCTACGGACGGCGATATATTGATTTCCATTTCAAATTCATTCTCAAGCAAACAGATAGACAGATATTCACCTTCATGTCTTTACTGGAAAAACCACTATTCGGAAGTAGAGCAGATATGTAGCAATCCAGTTACGGTTGTTGGAAATATTATTAAGGTATGTTTCAGCTTCAACATCAGTTTCAATTCTAATGTAATTTCTGATATGTGATGTTCAGTTGCAGATCCGAAAAGCAAAGTCTTTGATACTTGTCAATAAATTGGAGAGAACCATCCAGTCAAGACGGACCGAACGGAAAATCCGCAAAGAGAACTGACCAGAGTATACTTTTCAAAATTCAGATCCTTATATTCGTACGGAAGGCGATATATTGATTTTCTTTCCAGATTCATTCTCAAGCAAACAGATAGTCAGATATTCACCTTTATGTCTCTATGGAAACACGACAGGTACCCTTACGAGGGGAGAGTATCAACTCGGCGTTTATAAACCCTCTCTGCAAAGGAGGTCGGCGCATGGTGGGTTAGGTATATACAGTGTTTTTCATTGCAGAGAAAATCGTTGTTTATCTGCCTACCTCGTCTGCATTGAGAGAGTTGATCAATAATCATAAAAATATATCGCGTTTCAGTTACGAATGTTGAAAACAATATTCAGACTTCGTAGATTCATATTCTATGAACGTGTCACGATTCAAATTTCAAATTAATTGATGCTTAGTTTTAGATCCGAGTAGCACATTGTTTGGCATTCATGTTCCTCATTATAACCCACAAAATTGAAAATGTTGAAGATGTTGGCTGGGAGAACCAGTATTGAAAGCGAGTGTAAAGCAATCCAGTTACGGTTGTTGGAAATATTATTCAGGTATGTTTCAGATTCAACATCAGTTTTAATTCCCATGGACTTTCTGATATGTGATGTTGAGTTGCAGGTCCGAAAATCGAAGTGATTGATACTTGTCAAGAAATTAGAGAAAACAATCCAGTCAAGACGGACCGAACAGAAAATCCGCAAAAAGAACTAACTAGAGTGAACTTTTCAAAATTCAGATCCTTATATTCGTACGGACGGCGATATATTGATTTCCTTTTCAGATTCATTCTCAAGCAAACAGATAGACAGATATTCACCTTCATGTCTTTACTGGAAAAAACACTATTCGGAAGGAGAGCGGATATGTAGCAATCCAGTAACGGTTGTTGGAAATATTATTCAGGTATGTTTCAGATTCAACATCAGTTTTATTTCTCATGGACTTTCTGATATGTGATGTTCAGTTGCAGATCCGAAAGGCAAAGTCTTTGATACTTGTCAATAAATTGGAGAGAACCATCCAGTCAAGACGGACCGAACAAAAAATCCGCAAAGAGAACTGACCAGAGTATACTTTTCAAAATTTAGATCCTTATATTCGTACGGAAGGCGATATATTGATTTCCTTTCCAGATTCATTCTCAAGCAAACAGATAGACAGATATTCACCTTTATGTCTCTATGGAAACACGACAGGTACCCTTACGAGGGGAGAGTATCAACTCGGCGTTTATAAACCCTCTCTGCAAAGGAGGTCGGCGCATGGTGGGTTAGGTATATACAGTGTTTTTCATTGCAGAGAAAATCGTTGTTTATCTGCCTACCTCGTCTGCATTGAGAGAGTTGATCAATAATCATAAAAATATATCGCGTTTCAGTTACGAATGTTGAAAACAATATTCAGACTTCGTAGATTCATATTCTATGAACGTGTCACGATTCAAATTTCAAATTAATTGATGCTTAGTTTTAGATCCGAGTAGCACATTGTTTGGCATTCAGGTTCCTTATTATAACCCACACAATTGAAAATGTGGAAGATGTTTACTGGGAGAGCCAGTATTGAAAGCGAGTGTGAAGCAATCCAGTTACGGTTGTTGGAATAATTATTCAGGTATGTTTCAGATTCAACATCAGTTTCAATTCTCATGGACTTTCTGATATGTGATGTCAAGTTGCAGGTCCGAAAAGCGAAGTGTTTGATACTTGTCAATACATTAGAGAGAACCATCCAGTCAAGATGGACCGAACAGAAAATCCGCAAAAAGAACTGACCAGAGTGAACTTTTCAAAATTCAGATCCTTATATTCGTACGGACGGCGATATATTGATTTCCTTTTCAGATTCAGTCTCAAGCAAACAGATAGACAGATATTCACCTTTCTGTCTCTACTGGGAAAACCACTATTCGGAAGTAGAGCAGATATGTAGCAATCCAGTTACGGTTGTTGGAAATATTATTAAGGTATGTTTCAGCTTCAACATCAGTTTCAATTCTAATGTAATTTCTGATATGTGATGTTCAGTTGCAGATCCGAAAAGCAAAGTCTTTGATACTTGTCAATAAATTGGAGAGAACCATCCAGTCAAGACGGACCGAACGGAAAATCCGCAAAGAGAACTGACCAGAGTATACTTTTCAAAATTCAGATCCTTATATTCGTACGGAAGGCGATATATTGATTTTCTTTCCAGATTCATTCTCAAGCAAACAGATAGTCAGATATTCACCTTTATGTCTCTATGGAAACACGACAGGTACCCTTACGAGGGGAGAGTATCAACTCGGCGTTTATAAACCCTCTCTGCAAAGGAGGTCGGCGCATGGTGGGTTAGGTATATACAGTGTTTTTCATTGCAGAGAAAATCGTTGTTTATCTGCCTACCTCGTCTGCATTGAGAGAGTTGATCAATAATCATAAAAATATATCGCGTTTCAGTTACGAATGTTGAAAACAATATTCAGACTTCGTAGATTTATATTCTATGTACGTGTCACGATTCAAATTTTAAATTAATTGATGCTTAGTTTTAGATCCGAGTAGCACATTGTTTTGCATTCATGTTCCTTATTATAACCCACGAAATTGAAAATGTGGAAGATGTTCAATGGGAAAACCTTGTATTCGGAAACAAGCGAGTGTGAAGCAATCTAGTTACGATTGTTGGAAATATTATTCAGGTATGTTTCAGATTCAACATCAGTCATAATTCTCATGGACTTTCTGATGTGATGTTAAGTTGCAGGTCCGGAAAGCAAAGTGTTTGATACTTGTCAATAAATTGGGGAAAACCATCCAGTCAAGACGGACCGAACAGGAAATCCGCAAAGAGAACTGACCATAGTATAATTTTCAAAATTTAGATCCTTATATTCGTACGGAAGGCGATATATTGATTTCCTTTCCAGATTCATTCTCAAGCATACAGATAGTCAGATATTCACCTTTATGTCTCTATGGAAACACGACAGGTACCCTTACGAGGGGAGAGTATCAACTCGGCGTTTATAAACCCTCTCTGCAAAGGAGGTCGGCGCATGGTGGGTTAGGTATATACAGTGTTTTTCATTGCAGAGAAAATCGTTGTTTATCTGCCTACCTCGTCTGCATTGAGATAGTTGATCAATTATCATAAAAATATATCGCGTTCCAGTTACGAATGTTGAAAACAATATTCAGACTTCGTAGATTTATATTCTATGTACGTGTCACGATTCAAATTTTAAATTAATTCATGCTTAGTTTTAGATCCGAGTAGCACATTGTTTTGCATTCATGTTCCTTATTATAACCCACAAAATTGAAAATGTGGAAGATGTTTACTGGGAAAACCACTATTCGGAAAAAAAGCGAGTGTGAAGCAATCCAGTTACGGTTGTTGGAAAGTAAATATTATTCAGGTATGTTTCAGATTCAACATCAGTCATAATTCCCAAGGACTTTCTGATGTGATGTTGAGTTGCAGGTCCGGAAAGCAAAGTGTTTGAGACTTGTCAATAAATTGGAGAAAACCATCCAGTCAAGACGGACCGAACAGAAAATCCGCAAAGAGAACTGACCATAGTATAATTTTCAAAATTTAGATCCTTATATTCGTACGGAAGGCGATATATTGATTTCCTTTCCAGATTCATTCTCAAAATAACTATAAAAAACACGAATCCCAACATATCACGTAATGGGAATGGTTCGAAAGATTTAGGCACTTCTCTAGCTAGCCGCTCGTGTAAAAAAAACGTTTTTGGGCGCCATCTTGGCGAGATGGCGTCGCTGGTGGCAGGTCTCGTAAGATGCATTTTGTGAATTTTAGTTCTAGATCCCCAAACCTGTAAACCTACAAAGTTTCAAAATTGCTGTAATTATTTCCAGGTAAAAATCCACAATAACTGATGGCCTATATAGGTGAATATATCCACTCCAAAAGAATGTACTCCTGCAATATAATTGTATTAATTTATTTCATCAGAATTTTTATTCAACAAGTCAAAATGTTATTTAAAATTTGAGGGGAAAATATGAAGAAAAGAATTCGGGGAAATCGGGAAAAGGAAGTTGAACTTTTATAAGATAAAAGTTCATTATGATTTTTGCTCTTTGTCAAGCTCTACTAAAATCCCTTTCCATTCACTTCAGAGCAAAAACACGGTTTTAAAGATTCAGAAACATTTTAATTTGGTTACCTGAAATCTGAAGTGGAGGGAATGGTCAACAATAACAAATAAAATATATGGAAACAGTATAACGAATCAGTATAAATAGTCAACAAACCATCAAGATCACGTATACAGTATAAAATTTATTGCTCTCAAAGATAAGTCAATAGATTAGAAAAGTCCATATCATCATACAGCGTGTTTCAAATGTCCAGTCATGCCTTAATTGAGCTTAGAAAAACTTGGACTGCAAACTCAAATGGAAGAGTTTCGAAACGAAAATTTGTGAAGCACTCTGTATAGGAGGTGACAGTCATGGCCAGCTGTATTCGGACGTATACAGGGTGCACGACCGGAAATGAAATTCATCATGTCAAGTAGTAATAAAATGCGTTGGTATTCAATGTATTAGTTTAGTTTTTGTGAATTTGATGGATACATTATTTCATATTATGGTTTGTTGTCGAATTCAGCTAGCCAAAACTGATAACAAAACCAATACACAGGGTGAATCAATTTTTTTAAGAGGACATACTATATTTAGTTTATATACCCTCAAGTTTTTTCAAGATACCTTTTAAAAAGTATATTTCAGGAAGTCCTTCAACTCAGACCATATCTTTCTTTCATTAGAAATTCAATTCGTATTATTTAGGTCGCTTTTTCGGAATTTATAAAAAATATTGAAAAAAAAAATCATCAGAAAAAAACATATTCAGTGAAATATGTAATGTGTTCCCTAAATTAGGGACGTCACTGTGTAAGTTTTTGCAATTATGACAATTGCTAATCAATGCTAGTCAAATGACGATGAAATGGCCAAAATTTGAAGGACTCTTGACGCCATGTAGCTCGTCAAAAAATCTTGCTCGTAGGAAAAAAATTGAATCACCCTGTATAAACGAAAATGAACATATTTATGTTGGACCCATATCCTATAGAACTAGAAGAAAAATGGAATTTCATTTTATAGCTTCAGCGGCACCAACTGGCCTGGATTTAGTTTTCGAAATTTTTATATATTATGGTTTAATATCTATATATACAATGTGAAATAAAATCTAAAGCTATAGCCCAACTGGTTTTGCTATCCCATAATTTATCATTCACTCGCTATTTTTTATTGTACTTAGTCATAATACCCTTCAAAAATTGATTAAAATTCGTGTGATAATTCAACCCTACTTCGAAAATCGCAGAATTTAGAGGAAGCAAAAGTTGGATCTGAAAACTATTCGTAAATCTCCTTTAAAATCTATTTAAAATATTGCCTAAAAGTAATAAGTAATCACCTGTTGCTCAAATTGTTGCTGCTTTGTTGCTAAAAGTGCTTTTAGTTCCCACTCGCGTGAACTTTAAAATTCCATTTCAATGGTGAATATTCTGCAGACGATAAAATCCACGCTGATAAATATGTCTGTCCATTATTCTAATTATTGTAGTGATTGTTCATCTACGGTTCGAAATTTTAGTCATTCTTTCACTAATAATGAAATATCTAGTACAGGATCATTCCTATAGTTTTACTGGATTTACGTCACTTAGAACCCCCAGGGCCATATCAATGGTTCAACACTGATAAGCTCTACAAGGTGATTCTAAAATAGGTGGTCAAACTTTGGGAGCATATAGAGTGGGTGAAATAGTTACGAAAACCTCCGTAACATTTTTTTCTGAAGTGACCCCCAAGAAAGATACAGCCCCTCAAAGGGGGGCCTCGGAGAATGATTTTGTATTATTATCTCCAACACCTTGTATAATGAAAATCTGAAATTTTGTCCATCCACTTACTATTCAGTGCCGGTTCGAATGGAGTAAAATCACTTCAAAATTGAATACAGGGGTGTGTCAAAATAGGGAGGTAGGGGGTAAAAATAACCCCAACTTTTTTTCAGTTTTTTGACATGAAATTATGAAATCTCAGAGCTATTTACATAGAAAAGGTGCTCTTGTTGCATCTCGATAAAATGAACTATTAGCGAATAAAATTTATTTTTTCAAGATTTCATTTAAATTGCGATTTTGGTATGTACCTACTCAAGTTTAATTATAATGAAAAATCACTAAAATGTAGATTTTTCACGTGACAAAATAATAGGTTTTATTTATCTTGCCGAATTTGAGTCCACAGAATAAATTATTCATTATTATTTGTTGTTGTTTTATGTATGCGCTGATTAATTCGATAATGATTATGGGCCTGGGTGATTTGGGTAACACTTTGATGCAATATACAGGGTGATTCAGGTTTTAAGGCACAAACTGAAATGGGACATAGATCTCATTATTTCAATCAAAAAAGTTTATATAAACATAAGTCCGATCTCGTTCAGTAGCGGAACTTTGACCCCCTGTAGCTTCGCTACTGAACGAGATCGGACTAATGTTTATATAAACTTTTTTGATTAAAATGATGAGATCTATCTTCCATTTCAGTTTGTGCCTTAAAATCTGAATCACCCTGTATATTTGACAATTGACGGATAAGTATCACTTATTGAAGTTGAAATATCATTTTTAGGAATCATTCTGTACTGCTTTCTACCTAATACTAGAAGAACTTGGTCATTTTAAAAACTACTAACTAATATTTACAATTGTTCAATTATTGAAAATGCCTCAGTTTATTTTTCCGTAACTTTCTGTACGAACCAAAAGTATGGATTTTCTTCACTGGAATTCCAATTATATAAAGCGATAAGCATTATCCTGTTTTACGAAAATGCGCTTTGTTTCGAGTTTTTTCTTCATTCGTACTTGTATTCCTGAGTGTTCCGAGTTTCCGACAACGAACATCAAAATCGCTTAAATTATATGACAATGACATCGATCGTATTTTCAAAATTTGGCACTTTCATCACTATATCATCCAACATTTTGGATGTAGCATAACTCAGTTTTAACCCTTCTAATTTCCTGTAGAACGTGCAACGTGACACATTTTATTTCGAAGACAAAAGAGCAAATACTATGTATTATCAAACTGAAAACATAAACTATGGAATGCAGATGGTTTGCTCGGAAACATATATTGCATCCATATGGTACCGACTTTATGAACGACACTGTAGAACTATATAAGGCCATTTCACAGAAGGTAAAAAATTTTGATAGTTTGAATAATCAAGGGTATACCGGGTGACACAGGAGACATGTAGCAGCCTGTAGTTTTGTTTATTTGAGGAGATAAAATTTTGAAATTCACAGGGGGTTTATAATAAATGGTAGCGCACTTTACGAACTCAACGACAATTTTTTTCAACCACCTGTTTGACCGGAAGTGACCCCAACTTTTTTTTTAAATGTCACCCTGTACATTTGTTCAGTCTATCTTTTTCGCCTTGAAATTCTCTATCCAACCATGTATCACAAAGTGGCATTCATTCCTTAATTCGCTGTTGAATTGCTTTTTATTCAAAAAGAATAAGTTGGCTGTGACATGAATTCGATGATATATCGACACTTGATAGGCTTCGAAATTTGAATATCATTAGTAAACCGATATTATTCAAAATGTTTTGATATTCTGATCAATGTCTGCAGGTTGTCAATAGCTTGTTAGAGTCAAGATGAAAACCTTCGAAAATAACTCATGATATTGAGGAATCTAAGCATAGGAATATATTTTTTCGAATTCAGCTAATCGTACAGAAACTATCTGTCTTTTATTTTCGCCATGTACCTATCACATGATCTTCCCATTTGGAATAATGAAACTAAAATTGTTACTCTTATACGATGATCCACAGGGCTATCAGTCTATTTTTTTATAACTATTTCACTTAGTAGGCGGTGTACCTACACAAAATGTTTTATGTGTTTGACAGTTAATCGATTGCATCAATAATTTTTCTTCTTCATTTGTGTGTTGATTAAAATTGCATATTATCAATAGAGACGGAAAAAGAAACGAAAAAGTCGATATGTTACCAGATCTAGTAACCTAACCTAAGATATGTTACCAGATCTAGTAACCCAACCTAGGATATGTTACCAGATCTAGTAACCCAACCTAAGATATGTTACCAGATCTAGTAACCCAACCTAAGATATGTTACCAGATCTAGTAACCCAACCTAAGATATGTTACCAGATCTAGTAACCCAACCTAAGATATGTTACCAGATCTGGTAACCCAACCTAAGATATGTTACTAGATCTAGTAACCCAACCTAATATATGTTACCAGATCTAGTAACCCAACCTAAGATATGTTACCAGATCTAGTAACCCAACCTAAGATATTTTACCAGATCTAGTAACCCAACCTAAGATATGTTACCAGATCTAGTAACCCAACCTAAGATATGTTACCAGATCTAGTAACCTAACCTAAGATATGTTACCAGATCTAGTAACCCAACCTAAATGTATGTAAGAAATGAAAACGTCGATATGTTGTTAATATGCAATTTCAATCAACACACAAATCAAGAAGAAAAATTATTGATGCAATCGATTAACTGTCATAAAACATTTTGTGTAGGTACACCGCCTACTAAGTGAAATAATTATGAAAAAATAGACTGATAGCCCTGTGCATCATCGTATAAGAGTAACAATTTTAGTTTTATTATTCCAAACGGGAAGATCATGTGATAGTTACATGGCGAAAATAAAAGACAGATAGCTTCTGTACGAGTAGCTGAATTCGAAAAAATATATTCCTATCTTAGATTCCTCAATATCATTAGTTATTTTCGAAGGTTTTCATCTTGACTCAAACAAGCTATTGACAACCTGCGACATTGATTAGAATATCAAAACATTTCGAATAATATCGGTTTACTAATGATATTTAAATTTCAAAGCCTACCAAGCGTCGATATATCACCGAATTCATGTCACAGCCAACTTATTCTTTTTGAATAAAAAGCAATCCAACAGCGAATTAGGAAATAAATGCCACTTTGTGATACATGGTTGGATAGAACATTTCAAGGCGAAAAAGATAGACTGAAGAAATGTACAGGATGGCATTTAAAAAAAAAGTTGGGGTCACTTCCGATCAAACAGGTAGTTGAAAAAAATTGTCGTTAAATTCGTAAAGTGCGCTACCATTTATTATATACCCCCTGTGAATTTCAAAATTTTATCTCTTCAAATAAAAAAAACTACAGGCTGCTACATGTCTCCTGTGTCACCCGGTATAATATCCAGGGTGATTCAGGTTTTACGGTACAAACTGAAATAGGTGATACGATCTCATCATGTTGATCAAAAAAGTGTGTATAAATATGTGTCCGATCTCGATCAGTAGTTGAGGTACAGGGTGTCAAAGTCTAATTATTTTTCTATTATGCTTATTTATATAGAAAACGGTTCGTTTCTCGGAAAAAATTGAAGAGCAAAAAAAGCTTCTGAATTGAACGATCCACCCTATTTGGTAATTGAAAAATGTCAGATGCCTACTATGAAAAAGTTTGGGAAGAATAAAGAAGCCAATACCTAAAGGAATGTATCACCCTGTAGATTCAAAATATCTCTAGAATGCTTAAAATGGTGCATTCCTAGGAAGTATCAACCACACCAAATTTCAAATTGATATATTTGAAAGTGAGCGAGATATTTTAATTGATAGAAAAAAATAACCCTGTATATCCGCTATTGATCAAAATCGGACTCATGTTATTAACAACTTTTTCAATTGAAATGATGAGGTCTATCACCCATGCACCTCAAAACCTGAATCACGCTGTATGATCACTATCAGCGTACAAGGAAGAGGGGGAGGGGGCAAAAAAATTTCTCTCCTAGACGAAGAAGTGCACACACTGCACTTCTATCCATTTCCGAAATCAGACAGGTTAAAACCGACCTACCCCGTACAACACGAAACGGTGTTCGATTTTTTCGATTTACTCGCGTTCCCATCACTCGTCTTCGGTGTTATCTCTGAGACCTGCTTTGAATTCGGGCGGGATCTGCTTTCTGTAACAGTCGCTCAGAAAGTGTCCCATGCTCTCGTAGAGATGTCTTTTAACCCCACCCAAACTGTGGTTCTCGTCTGGATACACCTGGAACGGACAGCGACACAAATTATCAATGATGTTTCGCATTGCATATTTTACTATCACATTTATACAGTGCTTTTCTCTAATGTCTCTCCTTTAATTTCTTGAACGGGTCAACGAAAAAAACTTAAACTTGGGGAGATGAAATTGATGCACGAATACTACACTCACCGGCTAAAAAAACCGGCCACCAAAAAAATTGCCAGAATTGTTCACCCTGTAACTTTTTTAATCCTGCCTGATTCTTGTGAAATTTTGATCACATCGTAGATTTATGCTCCGGAATGTTAGCCTGAATATTAGTTTGAGCGAGAAGCTGATGACTTGATCTTTATACATGGAAAAATCGAAGTCACTATTTCATCCTATATTTCTTAACGCCCTGTGGCAAAATTGAGTGGTTGAACTTGGTTAAATTATGCTTCGGAATGGAGTAATGGAGTGTGATTCTTTTTCAATACAATAGCTTTTGAATCACGTTAATATCTTACTTTTAAGAGAAGATACAAGTGTTTTAAGAAAGTATGCTCGAAAGTATGCCATTTTTCAAATTTCATTAACACTCATATCAACAATAATCAGAACCTACATAAACTTATCGATCAACAACTTGAAGAATTGATATCTCATATTTCTTCCTCATTTTCTTAACACTCTCGGAAAAAATCTTGATTACAAAAACAAACAAAAAGCAGAAGTGTATATAGTCAACAACGAGTCATTCAACGAGGCATTCAACCGCCGTGGCATCGAGTTGATCAAATTTCTAAAGTAGTCTTGAAGAATTGCCAAAAAATCTCCTTGAAGGGCGAATCGTAGCTCTTGAAGAGACTCTGACATGGTCGAACTAAGGCGAATGAGCCTCTGGAGTTTATCCCCAAGATGCTCAATAAGTTCTAAGTTATTGTTGAAGTTTTCAAAATCCATACTTTCTCAAAAGACTTGTATCTTCTCTTAAAAGAAGATATTGACTTAAATCTCGAACCATTGTGTTAAGAAGAGACGAAAAAGGATCACACTTCAATTCAAAACATGATATTGCAGAAGGTTGGACAATGGTTCTGAATTATTGTTAATACAAATAAGAAAAACATACTTTCTTAAATCACTCGTATCTTTTTTGTAAAAGTGGTTATCGACGAGAATCTGAAACCATTGTGTTAAGAAGGGATCACACTTTAATCCAAAACATAATGAAGCTCAGTTTAACCACTCACCTTTGCCACGGGGTGTTAACAAGTTCAGGGTGAAAGAGTCTCTTTTGTTTTTCCCTGTATAATGATCAAGATATCAGCTTTTCTTAGGACCTTATATCCAGGCTAACATTCCGAAACATGTATATACGATTTGATCAAAATTTCACCGATATCGGACAAGAATTAAAAAAGTTACTTGGCGAACAATTTAGCAAAATTTTTTGGTGGCCGGTTTTTTTGCCGGTGAGTGTATATTTTGGAGTAAAATTTACACATTTTTACCAAGATGGCGACTGGGCGCTTCCTGGGAAAAAATAAATGGGGGTCAGTAGAAGAGCAAAGAGAGTCCGAAATCACATAGGAAGTTACCTGTTGGGAATTCCAGATGACGATCTGGAATTCCCAACAGGTAAATCCATATGTGAGTTGGAATTCTGCTTTCTGACAAAATGTTTGGGCTTTCACGCTAGGTTGATAGTTGCGCAATACTTGGTAACAAAGTCGTGCCAAAATTGCACATCGAAAAATACTAGTAACTTTCGAAATGGGCGAACCGCGTTATCGATTTAAGTTGGCAAAACTGTACACCGATGCCAGATTTATTTGACATTTCTAGAAGCAATTTGTTGTGATCAGCTGATCTCTGCGAATTATTCAGTACTGACAATTTGTACTTTCGAAGAAGTGTTTGTGATTTATTTGTGGAACATTGGTGAAATTTGATTTATTCAAAATGCCTAAACCATTGAGTGCGGAGGCGCAGAAGATGGTGGTATCATTGATACAATATTTCGAAAAAGAACGAGATAACGATGGCCCATTACTTCCACTGACTGTTGTGAGAGATGTGAGTTGAATGATATGGTATTAATAATGATATTTTGTGTTGTCAGAATGATTATGATTTGTCTGAATTACAGAAAGTAGCATTCAGTCATTTCCTTTCAACTGGCAACACTGTATGTGTTGACATATTGACGTCACTATCAACTTAGCGTGAAAGCCCTGTTTACATCTGCCTGTTATGAAATGCCGAGCGTACGAAATCATATAGGGCTTTACTTGTTGAGATTTCCAAATCAAGATTTGGAAATCCCAATAGGTGAAACCTGAAATTATGCTTTCTGACGAAATGGTAACTGTTATGAAATGCGAACGTACGGTTTCACCTATTGAGATTGATTTGGAATTCGCAACAGGTGAAGTCCTATGAGATTTCGTAATGCGAATATTGTTATTTTTTAAGAATTGCCAGAAGGTCTTCACGGTATCGAAGTGTGATCCCGGATCGTCCTGTACACGGCAAGTATCAAATTCTGGTCATGATATGATATGATAATTAAAAATATAAAGTCAGTATCTTTAACTATTACCACCCTTAGGGATGTTCTGACGAGAATTTCAGGGGGTGAGGGTGGTTTCAACCCTTCTACAATTTCTTTCGGGTTTCTTTCAATTTGTTTCACTCATTTTTGAACAGCGTACAAAAATGTGTTTTTTTATGTAAACTTTGGACTTGTCTCACGGACAAACGGTACGGTCTGTAGGTTAATCGAGGAGGTGGTACATTCATTATTCAAAATTTTTCGGGATTTTCTCTCCTCGTTTCTATAAAATAAAAATATGAATATTATTTCAATATACGTGTAGTAAGGACAAATCAGATGATTTGCCCCAAAATGTCACTGCGTTTAAAGAATTTTCCTATCAGGGAGCCTAAAAGAAAAATTCACTAGCTTGTCAGTGACAATTTGTATTGAAAAAAGTTTGAAGAAGAGAAATAAAGGTATACGGGTGGCTACGGAAGTATTGCCTACGGAATATCTCAGTTATTGTATGAAATAGGTTTGTGAAATTTGAAGCGTCGATATAATGACATAAGAACTAGAATTTGAGCATATTGACATGTCGAAGTTGACTTCCGGTCTGACCGGAAGTAACTTCAACTTTCTTATTTTAAATGGAAACCCTATTTTTTTCTTTTCGCTTTATTCAGCATTCAATTCCCTTTTTGATGACATATCATAAGTTGGTGTCTAACCAGAAACTAGATCAGAAAAAAATTACTAATTTGAATTTTTTTTTCGATAAATCTGTTTTTTTGTTATTTGAAGAATAATAATTGGATTTTTTGGTATTTCATTTCGAAAAATGACTTTCTATTATATCATTAGAAAGGAATGGTTATGCTGAATAGTACAGGCAAGAAAAAGTTGTATGTTCCTATTTAAGTTATGGACCTACAGAGTATTGTTTTTTCCCAATTTTCCCAATATTTTTATCTGGCGGCTTTTTATAACCCCGGCGAATGAAAATAAAATATCACAGTAGTAGCAACTGCTATCAAGTGACGTATGGTTTCCATAGCCAACTTTTCAATTTTTGGCTTTCATTTTGCTTCCACGGCCTACTCGGTGAATTTCAATAATAATATTTTTCTGATCTAGTTTCTGGTTAGATACCAACTCGTGATATGTCATTAGAAAGGGAATTGAATGCTGAATAAAGCGAAAAGAAAAAAAAAATAGGGTTTCCATTTAAAATAAGAAAGTTGATGTTACTTCCGGTCAGACCGGAAGTTGACTTCGACATGTCAATATGCTCAAATTCTAGCTCTTATGTCATTATATCGACGCTCAAAATTTCACAAACCTACTTCATACAATAACTGAGATATTCCGTAGGCAATACTTCCGTAGCCACCCGGTATAGGAAAAATATCAAATTTTCACTTATCTTTGGACGCTTCGGGACCGAAGAAATGATGTTTCTTTGGGTAACAAAAAACAACAACAAAGTGTTTAATTTCTTACCTGTTGCCGGAAGAGGGTGCCAGCCTCGGCGAGGGCCTTTACCAGCGCCATCGACTGCTGCAGATGGACGTTGTCGTCCGCGGTGCCGTGGATGAGGTAGAACATTTTGTCCTTGAGCTGGTACGCCTGCCGGCTGATGTCCGCCTCCTCGTAACCCTTGTAGTTGTCGGTTACGTTGGGCAGGCCCATGAAGCGTTCCGTATACGCAGAATCTGTCGAAACACTTCATTGAAAAAGATGAGAAATAAATGAGAAAATGTCTCATTTAACCTTCATTTATGTGACGCGATTTTGAGACGTCAATTTATTTTTTGTATCTGTATATTTTTTACCGTATAATTTCCAGTTGGTGACAGGGGAAACGGCTATGGCACACTGGAAAACTTTTTTGGGGCTTGCCAACGCCATTGTGGCTACAAACCCCCCGTAACTCCATCCCCAAACTGCCACCCTGCGTTTGTCGATGAAATGTTGAGTATCCCTCAAATACCTAAAAAATAAAATGTAATTGATATTATTGCATATTGCATTATCACAAAAATTTTAGACACGTGAGAGTTGATTGATATTGATTGCACATACACACATTTTGTAGAAATCCTGATTTATCAGATATATATAATTTATCTTTGAAGAATATCAACTATCTGCCAATGATTCCGCAGAATTATCCCCACCATTCGCGATTCCATCCATTCATTCATTCATTAATTGGTGTTTCGCGTTTAGGATTACTGGCGTATACCTACTTTTTGATGATTTATAAACAAATCACGGTGTCTATCTATTGTCATTTAGTTGAAACATGAACAAGACTCTGTTATTATCCCCACCATCCGAGATTCCATTCATTCGTTAGTGTTTGGCGTTTAGGATTGTTGGCGTATACTTTTTGATGATTCATAAACGAATCACGGTGTCTATCAATAATTGTTATTTAGTCTGAGCACTTATATACCCGCAAATGAACAAGAATCTGTTATTATCCCCACCATTCGCGATTCCATTCATTCCTTAGTGTTTTGCGTTTAGGATTGTTAGCGTATATTTTTTGATGATTCAACAAACGAATCACGGTGTCTATCTATTGTTATTCAGTCAGAGCACTCATCCGCAAATTAACAAGTGTATGTATGTATGTATCCCCACCATTCGTGATTCCATTCATTCATCCGTATTTGACGTTTAGGATTGTTGACGTATACTTTCAATGATTCATGAATGAATCTAAGTGTCGATCTATCGTTATTTAGTCTGACAACTCACCCGCAAATGTACAAGTGTCTCGACAAGTGTCTGTTATTATCCCCACCATTCGCGGTTGTAATTATTGTTGTTGTTGTTCTTTATTATCCCAAGAAAGTATAAAATGCCAGTTTTTGGATTTAGCTTTTTTCTCAGGTGATCTATATGTTTAGTCCACGATAATTGTTCATCGATATAAAGACCTAAGAATTTTGTAACATCTAAAATATTGTATGGCTTTCTGGCTGAAAAATATTGTTGTTTTCGACATATCAGTTTTTCTTTTTGAAATATACATATACGTAGATTTGTCATAGTTAAGAGTCAGCTTATGAATTTGTAGCCGAGATGATATCATTTTCAAGTCACTTTTTATATCATCAACTATATCGTTAAATTCTTTAGAGGAATAGATTATTGTATAGTATCATCTGCAAATAACTTCTGATCTCCTTTTAGTTTCAAAGATGATATTGAATTGATGTGAATTAAGAATTAAATTGGACCTAAAACGGAACCTTGTGGTACACCACATTTGATCTCCCTTACGGTTCTATTCATTTATCCATGTTTGACATTAAGGATTATTGTAATGATTTATGAATGAATCTTAGGGTACGTCCATTGTTATTTTACCTGATGTTGACACCCAACATTGGTAAAAAATCTCAAGATTCAACAATAGGTAGAAAGAATAAAAAATCCAACACAAAAATAATAATAAAAGAAGTACTAACTCCGTAACTTCGAGTTGATCGGCCACCTCGACCTTCCCCAACCTCCTGAACACCTCGTGCATGACGCGGTGGCCCTGCCCCCCAGTCCCTCTACCGTCTATTTGCGCCACTACGAAGTCCTCGTGCGAGGCCAGGTAGGTGGTCCAGTCGACGCGCCATCTGTCGGTGACCAATTGGGAGCCAGGACCGCCGTACACTTGCACGACTAGAGGGTAGCGCGTGATTTCGTCCTCGCGCAGGCCGGGGGGCAGATGGAGACGGACCTGCGCGTTGTATCTGGAAAAAATGCGACACAATTCGATTTTGGAAAAATTTAAAAAATTTGAATATTCCAGGGAAATTGGAAAGATACAGATTTTTTTTGTTTATTTATTTCATGGATGAAGAAGTATACATGTACATGTACATGTTTCGGGCTTATATAAGCCCATTATTGATTGTCTTTATTACCCCAAGAAATATAGTTGTTTATAATAGGGATACATAAACAATATACAAAGTGTTATACATACAATTATGAAAATATAATAAGATATAACAAATAAAAAAAAAATGCAAATAATCATGCAATATCAACCTAGTATTTTATAAGTAGGTATTCAAATAGAAAATGGAATTATCAAAGTCTCTGAAGCAGATATTTTTTTAAGTTAATTTTGAATCTAGTTGCTTCCTGTATATTCCTCAATTGACTTGGTAATGAGTTGTATAGAACGATTCCTGTGTGAAAAATTGATTGTTTGCCGATATTTGACTTGAACGTATTTGCTATTAGTAAATTTGATTGTCTTGTTCCATGATTATGTAATGAATTAATTTCATTGAAATTTAAATTCGAAGTTGTCAATTTATATAGGACAATTTTTTTTTTATCGCTTGAATTGAATAAAACAACATATTTTAAGTTTATATAGTGATGTCAGATCTAATAAATCTCTAGGTTTGTATAAATTCATGGTTGGTTCGAGAAAATTTAAATTGAAAATACACTTCAATGTTTTATTTTGTAATTTCATTAGTGGACTCAAACGTGAAATATTGGTACTTCCTCATATAGATATTAGGTATTGAGATTTTGAGTAAATAAGAGAGAAATAAATACTCTTCAAGTATCTGGTAGAAATGAAATTTCGTATTTTGAATAAAATGCCTGTAATAGGATTAAGTTTGTTCCTCAAATGATCTATATGTTTATTCCACAATAGTCGTTCATCAATATAAAGACCTAAACATTTTGTAACATCTGTATATTTGATGAGTTTATTGTTGAAGGATAGTGTTCTATTTGAAATGTTCAGTGTTTTTTTTACTATGTACATATATGAGGATTTGTTATAATTGAGAGATAGTTTATGAACTTGTAACCAAGAGGATATTTTCTCTAAATCACTTTTCATGTGCATGATAATATTATTTGAATCTTCAGAGAAATAAATCAATGTCGTGTCATCTGCAAATAATTTAAGATTTCCTCTCAATTCCAAGTTTGATATTGAATTTATGTAGATCAAAAATAAAACTGGTCCCAAGACTGACCCTTGCGGTACACCGCATGAGATGTTCATTAAGGAGCTACAAGTACCACTCACTTCAACATATTGTTTTCTATTTGATAGATAATTTATCAGCCGAATACAAGATTTTAGTTATGGAATTGAAAAATTTGATAATGTAGACAATGAAATGGGTGAAGACACAGAAGTATGCACCATGATTAGGTATAATAAAATTGGTGTTTTTCATAAAAACATTATTTATTCATAAGTTTTATTTATTTCAAGAAAGCCGAAGGTGACAATCACACATTTGAAAAAATCAAACAAAGTTTGATGGGGTATCAAGGTTAACATCAAGAAGTGAGTTTGCTGTTTTTGATTATTTTTGAGTGTTTATTATGAAAAATATCCTAAATCTCCAAATTTGTTGGACCTCAAACGAAATAAAGTCAAAATCGTGACTTCAGAGGTGCACACATTTTTTTCTTATGAGGCCAATAGTAGAAAACAAAACTATTCACAGAATAATCAGAAATCCCGATTACAATGAATTTCTCTGCACAATTTCGTCGTCAACTCACCCCCCGGAAATCTGCACGGGAAACGTCCTGACCTGCGGCACCGCCATGCTGGCCACCCTCTCCCTTAGCGCCGTATTATTCTGCAGCCACATCGCGCGTCGCGGCGCCGGCATCGCCGTCCGGTAGAGGGCGCTGGTGGGCACGCCGGGCCCCAGACACTCCAGCACGTAGTAGGCGGCGGTCGGGCTGAAGTGGGCGTTGTGGTACTGGCAGGGGGGCTCCTTGGGCACCGGCGGGTGCTTGCGACGCCGGTTGCGTCGCGGCGCCGCTGTCGTGGCTACGTGCTCGTCGTCTTCGTCCTCCCAGTCCGTTGATTTCACCCTGCATGCAGAGCGAAGGATAAACAGTGTGTCCCACTTACCATGCTCACCATGGTGAGAGATACGAGGTCGGTTAAATGACACCAAATGTGGAGTTTGTCAAGGCCAACTATAATGTGAAAAAATATTTTGATAAAATCTATTCGTTTTTGTTTTATACGCAAAAAACAGATTTTGATCATTTTCATGTCTCCTCCGTAACTTCTTTATTTATGAAAATATTCAAATAGGAAGTTTACATTCTCATGGCAGTTTTTCGACGTGATTTCGTGAAAAATATGAAATTGATACTAACTCTTCTAGAATTTGAGATATCAGCACCAACTTTAGTTTTTCAAATGTAGGTCATAGCTCACTATGACTTAGTTAGAAATAACTTTTTTGTCTCTGACAGATGATATGTCGCATTGAATTATTTAATTTAAAAAAAATGGCTGCTCCAAGATGGCGGACAAGATTTGGTCCGATTCCATTCAAAATTGGTAAGTGGGGGTTATTGAGGTCGGAGATCATCATTTTTTTGTTAAAATTTATGAATTCAAGATGGATGCTTTCAAATAATTTTCTGTTTTTGTATAAATGACGATAACTCCGTTGTTATCAACACAAAACTATTACTGCGACATATCATCTGTAAGAGAAAAAAAAAATTATTTGTAACTAAGTCATAGTGAGCTATGACCTACATTTGAAAAACTAAAGTTGATGCTGATATTTCAAATATCAGAAGAGTTGGTATAAATTTCATATTTTTTTCGAAATCATTTTGAAAAACTGCCATGAGAATGTGAAATTCCTATTTGAATATTTTCATAAATAAAGAAGTTACGGAGGAGACATGAAAATGATCAAAATCTGTTTTTTGCGTATAAAACAAAAACGAATAGATTTTATCAAAATATTCTTTCACATTATAGTTGGCCTTGACAAACTCCACATTTGGTGTCATTTAACCGACCTTGTATCTCTCACCGTTAAAAAGATACCCATGGTGAGCATGGTAAGTGGGACACACTGTATATGTTCCTCAAACGGCAGAGTTCAATTTCACGATTAGATCGCAAAATTGCTCTTCCACTCAACCGTAATGAGGAGTTCATCCATTGATATGAATGAGCTCCTTCCTAGGCTAAGTATTTATATACATTTTCGTAAATAGTTCTACATTATTCTATATTTACAGTGTGACCCACTTAAGACCGGAGCACCCTTATAAAATCTATAGTTTTCAACCGATTTCTTTTTTTTTGTTTCAGCAGAAGGACTATCCGGAGATCTACGTTCACACAAATTCACAAAATCAAATTTCAATCTACAGGGCATACTATGTTTCTCCATGTAAAAAATTGCGAAATATCATTAAAATCGACCTTAGTACTGAATTCAGCATCCTTCAATTAGGTTGAGCGCAAAATTTCATTGAAAAATTTCAATTGGCAACAAAGTTATAACAACAATAATTTTGATTGCTCACCATTTTTTATGAATATTTCAGACAAATTCTGAGAAGCGGCAACATTGTCAACACAAATGTTGGAAATCATTGAGGTTTCTGGTATACATTTGAATTGATAACACAAATTATTATGCAGTCCACTTTCTATCAAGCATCGAAACTATTGGTCCTTCGAGCCGGATCTATTCAAATCAAACCTTCAAGACTGCCAAGAGTTCTCCACATAGGATACAAAGCAGCACCCAATACTACCTGGTTTAACAATGAATGCCAAACAGATGGAGCTTCCACAGGTAGCAACAAGCAGTTCAAGCGAACACTTATCATCATATCTGGCGTTCATAAATGTAATTGACACTCGACAAGCACTGCCAGTCAGACATAACCACAAATTAATGAATGAAAAAAGCGGAAACTGACATTAAACTAAAGAATAAGATAATATGTTTTCTTCATGGATTCTTCACTCAAACACTAACCTATAAACGTTCTCGTCGAGCGTGACGAAGGGGTCGGCCGTCGGCTTGGGCTCCTCGACGCAGGTGAGACAGACGGGCGGGGGCAGCGAAGCGCCCGTCCGTGGCGGCACCGACGTCACTCTGAACAGGTGCAGCTGGCCCGGCTTGCCTTCGGGAATACCCAGAAAATATCTGGAAAGATATTTTTTCGATAGGCTTGGTACCAAAATTTCAGGAGGTTTGTTATATCAATATTTATTGACCATACAAGTACAGTCCACTATCTATCACAGCAAAGAACATATTGGTCCTTCGAGCCGGATCTATTCAAATCGAACCTTCAAGAATGCCAAGTTCTTCACGAAGGATACAGAGCAACACTCAAGACTACCTGGAGTAACAGTGGAAGCTCCAGCTAATTGGCATTCACTGATACTCCAGGTCCAGGTGGTCCTAAAGGTTTGATTTGAATAGATCCGGCTGGAAGGACCAATAAGTTCGATGCTTGATAGATAGTTCCGGGATTATTTCCCTATGATGAAACTTGAAAAATTGATATCTTCAAGAGATTTTTCAAGTACCGAGCCAGAATTGACCATCATTTCGGAAAATACAAAGTGATATCCAACAAAATGGTAAAAGGGTCAATTTTTAGAATTTCCGGATTTTATCTTGATGTCAAATAAATATCGAGCACTCTTATACTCACATAACGTAATTGGCATAAGTTCGGATTTCTCAAAAACCTATTTTTGAAAGTTTCAGGATTATTTCTCAATGATAACACTTGAAATAGCGATAACTTCAGGAGATTTATTATTGACTTTCATTTCGTGGTGTGAACGGCGAATTAACATAGAATCTCACATTCCCCTTCTTCCCATCATACTCACATGACGTCATTGGCGTGGTCCCAAGCCAGTATCCTCGCCACGTCGTACCGGCCGTGCGTCAGCGGTACCGCCCTTCTCTTCGGTATGTTCACTGCGACGGCGTGCCGGTAGCTGCCCGCCGGACCGTCCCGCACCGGCGCCACTGTCACGTAGTTCGAAGTGTCGCCGTTCGGGCCGAAGACGGGACTGTCGCCGGGATCGACCCATCCCAATCCTTCGCCACTGATACGTTGTGTCTACAAAAGTTTTTTTGCGTCATTTTTTGAAAATTCGTATTTTGCGATAATGTCTGAAAATTTTGATGATTTATTCCCGATAGGTCCTAATAAGATAAGTGAACATTCCATATTGTTTGATATATTTGTGAAAGCTCAAGCTGCTTGGCATTCACTCTGTTACTCCATGTAGTTCTGAAGGTTTGATTTGAATAGATCCTGCTCGAAGGACCAATATGTTCGATGTTTGATAGATAATGGACGGGACTGTCGCCGGGATCGACCCATCCCAATCCTTCGCTACTGATATACGTTGTGTCTACAAGAGTTTTTTTTGAGTCATTTTTTGAAAATTCGTATTTTTCGACAATGTCTGAAAATTGGGATGATTTATTCCCGATAGGTCCTAATAAGGTAGGTGAACATTCGATATTGTCTGATATATTTGTGAAAGCTCTAGCTGCTTGGTATTCACTGTTACTCCATGTAGTTCAGAAGGTTTGATTTGAATAGATCCTGCTCGAAGGACCAATATGTTCGATGTTTGATAGATAGTGGACGCGGGACTGTCGCCGGGATCGACCCATGCCAATCCTTCGCCACTGATACGTTGTGCCTACAAAAGTTTTTTTGCGCCTTTTTTTGAAAATTCGTATTTTTCGACAATGTCTGAAAATTGGGATGATTTATTCCCGAAAGGTCCTAAGATAGGTGGAAATTTGATATTTTTTCGATATATATTTTTATTATTCCTTTCCAAATATATTACACAGCAAGGAGTCGTTTGCTTGAACTGTTTGTTGCTACCTGTGAAAGCTCCAGCTGCTGTAGTTTTGAAGGTTTGATTTGTATAGATCCTGCTCGAAGGACCAATATGTTCGATGTTTGATAGATTGGTATTGGTATTGGTAGGTTGGATGGTGACAGATGCGCTGCGACCCAATTAGATCTATTGTGCCCCATCTGCTCCTGCTATATCAAGGATTTCTTGTTCATGTTTGATAGATAGTGGACTGCATTTGTATGGTTATTCGCGATAGAAAATAACACCTGACGTCAATAAGCACAAACAAAAAACGAATGTGAACCAATGAAACCAATCATGTGTAAAGCCAAGATTGATACGTGGTTCCCTCGCGTAAAATTATTTGAATCTCTCGCACTGAGTATTTTATCGAACTGTTTGCCTGTTTGGGGATTGATATGATACCTAGACATCTTAGAATAAAGAGTGATGTTCTTCAAAAAAATACTGCTTGTTCATACTAATTCTCCGGATTATGTGATCCGATTGGAAACTGGCAGAGTGAAATATGCCTATATAATGTCTTTAAAATGCCATTGAACTGGTTACAAAAAGTCCTCAGTATGGATGATGACCGCATACCAAAAATTTCTTGGAGACAGCAAAATAATTCGCTGGGTACTATTGATGATAAGTTCAGCTGGGCCAGTCAATGGCAGAAGTGTTTTATTTTTGCTGATGCTAAGGACTTGTGGGATGAAGCTGTACTTCATGGCAGAATAAAAAAAAATTATTTTAGCAAAATATCATGACAAACTTTTCGAAGCCGATATACCATTGCTTCAAAGGAGCACCTTTTTGGCACTTTACAATCTTAGATTTTATCGGCATTTCGAAGGTATTATTCAGGATATTCCGCTAAACCACTGATATGGAAAGAGTATCACCTTTATAGCTGTATGTATATATTCATGAGTATTTAAATGAACCATTTGGACCGACAGAATAACTTTGAAACGCCCATGACTGTTGGAAGTTCACTCGCAAGTGAATAATTCAGTTGTCACACGTGTCGAGGAGTTTTATTCCGCTACGGGTAACTCCGCCAACGCAGACAAAACGTTTTCGGTGTTAAAATAGTTGTCAATCCCGATTAGTGGTAATGGAATAGGGAGGGAAACAGAATTGAGCCATGAACTTTATGCTCATCATAAAGTGTCAACTATTTATAAGCATACTAAGCAGTATATAGTAGAAGTCATTAGTAAGTTATAACATTAATAAAGTTCTAATGGGCGTGTACACCTTAGTAGAACTTTTAATTCAAACCATGTTTATAATGATCCTTTTATACATAAATAATGATTGAGGACATAATTCGATCGAAAAATTGACTGGATTGTTTTATTTTTGGACATAAATAATAGTACCTTCTGAAAACGGACCCTCTAATGACGTAGAAACCTCATCTCGCCATAGTTAAAAGAAAATACCAAAGCCCGACGGAGACTGAGGCAACTGATACATCAATTCTTTCAATTGTGATCTCGCGCTAATTCACTCTGTCAGAAATCATGTATCATTCATCTCTGTCTGGAATAGTCTTGTTTCAGTATTAGGGTTTTGACGTCACATCATCGCCTCGTTTTCAGAGGTCCGAAAAATCGGGGATTTCAATAACTTTTTATAAAACGTAGGGAGCACAGCAATAAGAAACGGTTTGCGGTGGTGAGCTAGTTTGGGTGAATTCTATCGAATTATGAAATAATTTTTTTTTGTGATATAAGCCCATTCTCGAGAAGATATTTCTAGTAAGAGAACTGAGAGATTAAGAGGACAAATAATGCAAGAGCACAGTTTCGGCCGCCAGGCCACTCATCAGTCCCACTCGGTCTGCTGACAATCAGGGTAACACAACGCTTGACTGATGATACATGGTGGACCGAAAAAATAACTGTCGGTCTTTCTGGAAATTGGAGCTACCTTGTTCGTCCCAAACCTCTGATATGACCTCTAGGATATGTCTCTAAGAGAATGCTTGAATGGTTTAGTTGTAACACAATGTTTAATATTTTACATGTTCAAATAAATATTTGATACCGGGTGACCAGTTATATTCTGACCCATTTCAAATGCTTATATCTCTGAAACTATTCAAGTTATCGTTGTGCAGTTTGGACTAGTCTATTTTGATATTTTTCAAGTTTTTTTTGACAGGTTCACCTTCTCTCTTGAACATCCGGTTCTACCGGAAACAAACTAGCCATTATTCAGGTATAGGGCAACTTTTTTATTTCATCGAATCACCCTGTATATTTTTGCACATTCAGAAAGACTGGTCTTTTCTCTTTCTAACAATGTATAACAAGTTATGTTTTCTTAGAAAACTATCAGAGTTATAACTGTTTGAAACAACTACTGCATGTGGAATGGTTTAATGAGATTTTGCAATGTAACCAAAGTCGTCTTTGGAAATCCTGATCACAACACATGAAATGCCAGATTAGATGTGTCAAATAAAGATTGTCGAGCATCTGTACTTTCTCCGAGTTGAAAAAATGTTCACTCTGACTGAAAAAGCGAATGAACTCATCATAAATCTGCATCAGATTTATACTCAATATACGGTGATTCAGCATTTCAGGATAACATCCTAATATGCAGTAGATGCTTCAAAGAGTTATAACTCTGATAGTTTTCTAAGAAAACATAACTTGTTATACTTTGTTAGGAAAAGAAAAGACCAGTCTTTCTGAATGTGCAAAAATATACAGGGTGCTTCGATGAAATAAAAAAGTTGCCCTATACCTGAATAAGGGCTAGTTTGTTTCCGGTAGAACCGGAAGTTCAAGAGAGAAGTTGAACTTGTCAAACTTGAAAAATATCGAAATAGACTAGTCCAAACTGCACAACGATAACTTGAATGGTTTCAGAGATATAAGCATTTGAAATGGGTCAGAATATAACTGGTCACCCGGTATATCTTCGGAACTACGAATTTTTGTCCGCATTTTTAAACACTTTTGTTCGTACCCAGTGTGTTGACCAAGACATGTATACAAAGTACAGAAGAAAAATGCACTTTTTCGACAAAGGTCCGCCCTATTCGAAGGATTTTTATTTTATCGAGCCGAACCTAAACCCTAAACGCTGGCACATGAAAAATTCACTAGCCCACGTTTTTCCAGGATATCTGGATATTTTCCTGGATTTTCCGCGGTCGGGGGAGAGTTGAAAGCTTTACCGTGCTCGGTGGCATTAGCTTCAGAAACAATTTTCTGTGTGGGTGACGTGGACGACAAAACCCGAGAAACTTTGAAGCCCGTTCGAGGCAGGCTTCACGTGGATTCGGCCATCGAAATGCGGTCTATCCGGAAAGTTACTTTGGTGTTCGAGAAGTTTCAGTTTCCTAATGATCATGATTACCTAGTTAGGTATTCGATTAGACTTTTTAAAATCGAGGAATCTCTGAAAGTTTTAATTTGATTGAATTTTCTGTTCCCATTTCCATCGTGAATTTTATATTTGGATGAATATTTGTATTGATGCATTGATGGAAAGTGTCTAGTTGTCTAATGGTTCCTCTGGCTAAAGCATACCGGGTGACACAGGGTATCGGGCCACCCCTGTAACTTCCGCATTCGTCAACGGATTTTTCTGAAATTCAGTACAATTATATAAGCAATTATTTCGGATTCGATCACATTACAATCCAATATGGCGGACTTCCGGTATTTCTGGAAATGCCAGCAACTTTGTTTTTTCAAATGAAACACCCTGTATATTTTTACATATTCAAGTGCAACAGGTCGAAACAAGTGCAATCTTTATTTCAAATGTCATTTTTTCGAAAAAATTTAAATTAAAATTGTTTTTTCATTTTACCTCGTGGATGAATGAGATGTGGTCAAGACTATGCACAATGAGTCACACATAACAGAAGAACATAATTTTTTCTGAAAAATTATTTTTTGTGTCACTTATCCAGGAATCAATTCAGCCACATCACTTTTTGATCAAAAATTATGTTTTTTCAAATGGAACCCCTATGGGCCACCTACCCGTCTCTCTAGAACATACATTGAGGAACAAAATGACATATCATTTTTGTTTTTCGGTGCAGTAACAAATTGTATACATTCAAAAATCAACAACTAGTTCATGAATTTCCTTGCAGTTAGAATAATTTTTCAACTAGGTACGCTGTGGAATAAAAATTACATTTGACTTCAAGATTGCACTTGTTTTGACCTGTTGAACTTGAATATGTAAAAATATACAGGGTGTTCCATTTGAAAAAACAAAATTGCTGGCATTTCCAGAAAAACCGGAAGTCCGCCATATTGGATTTCAATGTGATCAAATCCGAAATAGTTGCTTATATAACTGTACCGAATTTCAGAAAAATCCGTTGACGAATGCAGAAGTTACGGGGGTGGCCCGATAACCTGTGTCACCCGTTATACTATTACGTCATTTATACCAATATAAAAATACAAATAGAGAGAAAAATTTTAGACAACGAGAGAAAAACAACTATTTTCCTGGCTATATGCCACGCAGAACATTGAATTACATTGATCTAGTTCTCCTACCTAAGAGATTTAGGATGATCAAAGTTGCCCCAATTGTCAGCAAGAGCGAGATAGTACCGTTTCGGCCCACCAAACCTCATCAGCCGCTCTCGGTCTGCTGAATTACATCCTCCCGATATCTATGCAACGATTCGTAAAGACGGAGACAGCAACATGTGATTGTTTCCTAAATGTTGAGCTGTGTATAAATCGTTTAGGAACGCTTGACTACCTACAGACTGGTTTCGAGCTTTGGGCTGGACTCTCATCAGTGCAGGGGTGTGTCCAGATGGCTTTCTTGACCGCCAGCTAGTGCAAACCTGACCCAACGCAAACACATCCCAGCATTATCAATAACCACGAGTTCTGGAGTGTTTCGTTTCTTTTACTTAGGTAGCGTTCGTGTGCATCTCGCAGATGGCGAATGCCTCGTGGGTATTGAATACTGGAATGTATTTGTGTTGGGTCAGGTTCGCACCAGATGGCGGTCGAGAATGCCATCTGGAGACACCCATGCACTGATGAAAGCCCAACGCTCGAAACTGTTCTGTAGGTAGTCATGCGTTCCTGAAAGATTTAAGCACAGCTCGGCATTTAGGTAGTAGTAGTAGTTTTTCTCTCGCTATATACAATTTTTGTTAATGTAATGAACTATTGTGGTAATGACTTTGAGTTTCTTCCTCTTTGTGACCATTTCATTCCACTGTTTCTGAAAGTAAAGGGTTCTATGTGTTTCACATAAATTAGGAACCTATTAAATATTTTTCAATCGTTCTGTTTTGTCTCTTATTTTTGACTTTTTCAAAAAACACTGATCAATTATTGACGTACCTCTCGACAGTCCCATTTCGGAGTGGAGCATATCGTTATCACAGATAAGTTCTGAGGACGGTTCAGCCACACCACTGATATCTCTGTCGAACTGATCCAAGATACTGACGTGAAGTAATGATCGCTGTGAAAACCACAAAATGGTCGATTTTCATTTGTGTGAATAATATTTCCAGTTATGTGAGAGTGCGAATTATATTTCAAGAGTGTGAATTGAGTTTTCAGTTATGTAAGAGTGCGATTCATGTTCCAGGAATGTTAATTATGTTTTCAACAATGAGAAGTATATTTCAAGAGTGTGAATTATGTTTAAGGAGTGCAAATTAATTCCAAGAGTGCGAATCATGTTTCAAGAATGTTAATTATGTCACCAACACTACGATTTATGTTTGAACAGAATAATCTGAATGTGAACTGTGTTTCCAAGACTGAATTATGTTTCAATGAATTGACTTTTCAGTTATGTAAGAGTGCGATTCATGTTTCAGGAATAAGAATTATGTTTTCAACAGTGAAAATTATATTTCAAGAGTGTACATTATTTTTTCAGCAGTGCAAATTGTTCTCAAAAGTGTGAATTATGTTTCAAGAATGTTAATTATGTTACCAACACTACGAATTATGTTTGAAGAGCGTAAATTAGGTAATCAAGAGTGTGAATTATGTTTTCAAGAGTGTGAATAATGTTTACAATTATGTGAACTATGTTGTCAAGAGTGCATTAAAGTTTTAAGAGTTTAAAATGAGTTTCTAGTTATCTAAGGGTGCGATTTATGTTTCAAGGATAAGAATTATGTTTTGTGAGAATTATATTTCAAGAGTATGAATTATGTTTTCAAGAGTGCACATTGTTTCTAAGAGTGCGACTTTTGTTTCAAGAATGTCAATCATGTTACCAACACTCCGATTTATGTTTGAAGAGTGTGTATTAGGTTTTCAAGAGTGTCAATTGAGTTTTCAGTCATGTAAGAGTGCGATTTATGATTTATGTTTCAGGAATAAAAATTATGTTTTCTCCAGTAATAATTATATTTCAAGTGTAAATTATTTTTTCAAGAGTGCAAATTGTTTAAAAGGATGCGATTTATTTTTCAAGAATGTTGATTATGTTACCAACACTACTTATTATGTTTGAAGAGTGTGAATTAGGTATTTAAGAGTGTGAACTATGTTTTCAAGAGAGTGCATTATGTTTCAAGAATTCTAAAATAAGTTTCTAATTATGTAAGGGTGCGATTTATGTTTCAAGGATAGGAATTATGTTTTGAACAGTAGGAATTTTATTTCGAGAGTGTGAGTTATGTTTTGAAGAGTACAGATTGTTTCCAAGAGTGTAAATTATGTTTCAAAAATGTTAATTATGTTATTTCAGAATAATTAGTTATGTTACCAACACTACGAATTGTTTGAGGAGTGTGAATTAGGTTTTCAAGAGTGTGTATTAGGTTTTCAAGAGTGTGAATTATGTTTCAAGAGTGTCAATTGAGTTTTCAGTCATGTAAGAGTGCGATTTATGTTTCAGGAATAAAAATTATGTTTTCTCCAGTAATAATTATATTTCAAGTGTAAATTATTTTTTCAAGAGTGCAAATTGTTTAAAAGGATGCGATTTATTTTTCAAGAATGTTAATTATGTTACCAACACTACTTATTATGTTTGAAGAGTGTGAATTAGGTATTGAAGAGTGTTTTCAAGAGAGTGCATTATGTTTCAAGAGTTCTAAAATAAGTTTCTAATTATGTAAGGGTGCGATTCATGTTTCAAGGATAGGAATTATGTTTTGAACAGTAGGAATTTTATTTCGAGAGTGTGAATTATGTTTTGAAGAGTACAGATTGTTTCCAAGAGTGTAAATTATGTTTCAAGAATGTTAATTATGTTATTTCAGAATAATTATTTATGTTACCAACACTACGAATTGTTTGAGGAGTGTGAATCAGGTTTTCAAGAGTGTGAATTATGTTTTCAAGAGTGCGCATTACTTTTTCAAAAGTATGAATCATCATTAATTTAGAGAGTTCGACTTGTTTTTCGCGAGAGTGTGAACTAATGTTGTTGTGAAAGACAGTGAAATAGGTATCTGGACCACAGCAAAAATCTCACCTTCTGGCTAGAACTGGAGGAGGTAGCACGCGCTTCTTCTTCACGTTCGACGTATCGGCCAAATCGGCCACCGTCAGCGTGACGATGGGGTTCCTGGTGCCCGGCTTGGGGTACCGCAAGGATCTGACGTCGGGGTACAGACGGTCGGCGCCGTACCAAGGGAAGCGGATTTCCTCCACCAGGGAGTCATCGAAGGTGGCGAACACCACCATCAGCCCGTCCATGGACATCCAGATGGCCGTGTTCGTACCCAGGATTTCCTCTGGAAGAAACGTTGGTTTTGATGAGAGCGCGTCCCCGAGCTGGCGAAACGGCATTTGCTGCTAGTATACAGGGTGTCCCGCACTTCATGAATACTCCCTTATATCTCAATTATTATTGGTTCGATTTTCTCGAAATTTTGATGATGATTGAATGTTTTTTTGATTGAAAGAATGTTTCTATAGTATAGAAGATTGTATAGATATTTATTCTGTGTGACATGTATTACTCAGTGTAGTGTTTCATAGTTTGTGCATTTATTCTTTCTTTTATATTCATCATTTTATGTATTATTATTACTATTTCAAATCTTATATTTATAACTTATTTTACTTTAACTATACAGGGTGGCCCACGGTCGATGGTACCTTAGACGTATACGGAAAACGGTACATTGGATTATCCTGAAAATTTGGTTACTCTCATAAGCGTTTGTGATCTAACGATTCAAAATATTTTCAGCGATGCAGCGTTGCCGCCAATAACAAAAAGTAGCATCATATTTGATATTTCATATGAAACACCCTGTATTTCATTGCGTTTTTAGATTCGTCTCGAAGAGCTGATTTCATCAATGCATTTTACTTGGGGTCTAGCAAGAATTATTACAGAGATATAGGGTGTTCAAAATCGAGATTTTTCAATTTCAGGATTTTTTGTGTCGAAACTATTCATCATTGGTCAAAACGGCTTACATGTCCCTATCTTAACTTTTGATTCACTATCTACTGACATTTAATTGGAACAGATACAGAGTGATCAAAATTCTGAATCTTGGACCATCCTGTATTTTTTCCAATTAAATGTCGGTAGATAGTTAATCAAAAGTTAATATAGGGACATGTAAGCCGTTTTGACCAATGATAAATAGTTTCGACAAAAAAAATCCTAGAGTTGAAAAATCTCGATTTTGAACACCCTATATCTCTGTAATAATTCCTGCTAGACCCCAAGTGTGATACATTGATGAAATCAGCTCTTCGAGAAGAATCTGAAAACGCAATAAAATACAGGGTGTTCCATTAGAAATAACAAAGGTGATGCTACTTTTTGGTAAAAGTGGCAACGCTGCTTCGCTGAAAATATTTTGAATCGTTAGATCACAAACGCTTATTGGAGTAACCAAATTTTCAGGATAATCCAATGTACCGTTTTCCGTATACGTCTAAGGTACCATCGACCGTGGGCCACCCTGTATATTTTATATTTTACTGATCGACAATTCCAAAACATACAGGGTGGGTCACGGTGGATGACATATTAGAAGTATCTGGAGAACGAAAAAACAGAACATTCTGAAAATTGGGATGCTTCGATAATTGAACATTCTCTATTCGTCTAAAATGTTTTCATCGATACGGTGTTGCCACTTCTATCAGAAACAACTAACAAATTCGTTATTTTAAATGGAGCACCCTGTATTTCATTGCATTTTCAGATTCCTAAAGAGCTGATTTTATCAATGCATCACACTTGGGGTCTAGCAGGAATGATTACAGAGATATAGGGTGTTCAAAATCGAGATTTTTCAATTTTGGGATTTTTTTGTGTCGAAACTATTCATTATCGATCAAAACGGTTTACATGACCCTATCTCAACTTTCGATCCACTATCTACTGATATTTAATTGGAACAGATACAAGGTGATCAGAACTCTGAATCTTGAAGCACCCTAGCTGTATTTTTTTCAATTAAATGAAATCTCTAATCATTTCTGCTTGACCCCAAGTATGATATATCGATGAAATCAGCTCCTCAAGAAGAATCTAAAAATGCAATAAAATACAGGGTGTTCTATTTGAAATAACAAAGTTGCTAGTTGTTTCTGATAGAAGTGGCAACACTGTATCGATGAAAATATTTTAGACGAATAGAGAATGTTCAATTATCAAAGCATCTCAATTTTCAGAATGTTCTGTCTTTTCGTTCTCCAGATACTTCTAATAGGCCATCCACCGTGACCCACCCTGTATAAAACCATGTCGAAAAATGCATATCATTGCATACATTTTTTTTGTTTTAACCTCACATTTCCTCCGATAAAACTATATCGATAGTGACTATCAATATATCGATTATTGTTTTAAACACTGTCGGGAACTATCGATAGGAAAAACAATCGATGTTTAATCAACACTATACCTCGGAGTAAAATCTACTACTTTCTTCCCTTGTAGAATAAATAAATATTTCATGACATCAGTAAATAGGCTATGCCGATACGAGATATTTTTTCAAAATTCTAAGTCATTTTTCTCCAGATTCTACGGAAATTCTACGCTGCACGGCGGAAAGCCCTATAAGAGCCCATGTGTTAGAGAGAGACAGACGATGCGATTTTTCCCCAGATCTACGGACATTTTTCGTGAATTTTAAGCTCAAAATTAGCAAAAACGGTCCCTTCAAGGTCATCCGTCCCGACGAGCTGGGAAAGCTATAGATCCGTTCTAGAGATAACGATTCGCATTTCATAATGGCTATACACAGGGTGTTTGAGTTGGATAATAGTAGGAAAAAATATATACAGGGGCTGCAAGTTGAAAAAATATCTCGTATCGGCATAGCCTATTTACTGACATCGGTATAAATCTAGGCGCCTATAAATCGTTATTCACTCTGAGCATTTGGTCATTTCGAACTGACCTTCGTACAACCAATCCGGCACCCCGTGACTCACAACACCCGGTACAGCGGTGTTGGTGATCATGTATCCCGTGTGCGAATTGGGACTCTTCCTGTAGTAGATGTTGTAGTCCTGCACCATGATTAGGCCCTTGCCTTTCGGCGCCCATTGGGCCAGCAGCAGGAACGGGTGGTTTTCTTCTTCTGGCATCGGTCGCAGTGGAAAATCATTGCTGGAAAAGTCATCATAGCAGAATTATCAGTGGTTCCGATAGTACAGTAAACGAACGAACAAGAGAGAAGTTCGAAATTTCATCACTGTTGTCATGTCATCACGGAGAGAAATATGTAGAACATATTTTATGGTATAGAAATTCTACGACCCCCTGGGATAAAATATGTCAATCTAGAAAATGTTTGTCTTCCTCCTAACTAACTTTTTATTCAACATATGATTTTCTTATTATTAGAATAAGCATATGCTGATTTCAAATTTATATCCAAATTTTCGGTATATTTTATGTTGAATATTACCACAAAGTATGTTTGTCGAAATGAAAATAATAATTTTCCATTTTGTACCATACAATGCTTTTTTCATAAATATCCACCTCTTATCGAATATAATTTGCTCTTAGAAAAGCATGATATGTATGTTAGATATGATAAGGATTTGTTTCATTTCAAAAGAGATAAGTGGGGGTTTTGCAGGCGCGGATCCAGCAGCACGCTTACAGGGAACAAAGGAGGATGAACGAACCACCATGCAGAGGCAATTTTTTTTTCTGGTTCAAGATCCAATGCATACGAATAGAAATTCAAGTTTCTGAAAAGTATATCAAATAGGTATATAGGTAATTTTTTCTTCTGAAGTGGTATTTTATGTGAAGGTATCTGTATGCTGTATGCTTCATTCAAAACATTGAACATATCACTAGGCAATACGCAGTTTTTTCAATACTTTAAGTATCAGTGTAGGTAGGTACCTATTTGATTTTTGAGAAAATATGAGACGGAATTTCGAATCCAGCATTCCAGCAATCGCCTGAAGATGTTTGCTCCTCTCAGTCCCGCAAAACTATCGACTTCTGGAGAGGAGTAGGTTTCCAACGTTGAAGTAGTGATATTCATACAAATTTACGAATTTCTGGTACATACTTTCTCAGGTTGTTCTCAGAATTCCACGTAAATTTCCTATTCGCGGATACCTGCGTGTCTCTCCTAGATCCATGATCCATGCCTGGTGCAATTCCGCTTAGTCTAGGTACTCCAGTTATTTTTAGACTAAACGAAACGCTGGGCTGGACACAAGACGTAGGTTAGCGATGCACAGTGCAGTGTACACAGTGCGCAGTTACATTTTAGCAGTGATATAGTGGGAACCATGGACGTATAAACATTGATCTTGAATTTTCCATTTTCATGTTCAGTTTTCAGTAGTGAATACCATGTTCTATCTATATTTCTTTCTTTCAAACATGTTTCAAACAAATTGTCACTGACAATGCTACTGGATTTTTCTTTTAGGCTCTCTTATAGAAAAATTTGTTAAACGCAGTGACATTTTGGGGCAAATCATCTGATTTGTCCCACTACAAATATATTGAAATAATACACATATTTTCATTTTATAAAAACGAGGGGAGAAAATCTCAAAAAATCAAGAAAAATGCATAACAATGTTGTTCATTCTTGATGACCTAGTACATCGTTTTTAGTTCCTAGAAGTCAAATTTAAAATTTGTGTTTCCTAGCAACATACCTATATGTTTGTGTCATTAATAGGAACGTCAATTCAAGAGCTGATATTTGGTATTAAAATGGACGACTTTTGTGTCGGCTGCAGAAAAAAAAATTGTAGCACAGTGTTTCATGTTCTTTTTCAAATTTTTGTAAACAGTGTAGTAGGTTTTGGGTTCTCAACAAATAATGAAAACTATACATCCGGACTAATTTGGTTTTCGTGATCGTATCGATTGGAACCCCCCGCTATTCTGTCATTAATAAGTTCTCGTTTTTTTTTTCGTGTTCGTGACTTTCCGAAATAACTCACTAAAATAACAGGCTTTCTATTTTTTCAACCCAAACAACGATAAACCCGCTTATTCCCGTGAAATTAGCGTGTAAGCTCCCTCGAGGCTGATATATCGATTTTGTAATTATTTGATAAGTATGCGGTCGTTTTGCAGCAAAATATTACTCCCTGGAGCCACAAAAACATATCGTCATTATTATCTCAAATGTCACGAATAATTACACGCAAAACATACAATTGATTTTCATGAAGATTTACAGTGTCTGGGTATACAGGTTGTCAATTTGAAAACGATAATAGTACATGTATGAACTTCTCAAACGATTGAGATTTCCACAAAATTGTATAATAATAATAATAATAATAATAAATGCTTTTATTGAGAGGTTACATACAAGTACAGAAAACCTAACAAGAGGCAGGATTCAATATCTGCGCATGAAAAATTCATAGCAGAGCTTGCTCTTCCATCCATCAATTTTATGTTGATGAGCATATAATAGTATGATACACAGGCTAGTGCAGAATGTCCCTAGGTCTTTCAGAAGGAAATTTCAATAAAGAACTCAATATCATAAAACAGATTGCAGTCAACAACGGATACTACGTTAATTTGATAGACAGTATTCTTTCTAAAAAACTTCATCATCAAGAATAATAATCGAAATTATAGAACTTTAACCTATTTCGGATCATCAACTGAGAAATTAGCTTCATTTTTACATAAACAGGACTTAAAAGTGGCATATAGAACAAATAACATGTTGGGACGGTTTATCAAGAATAATAAAGACAAAACTTCTAAATTCGAAAAATCAGGAGTATACAAACTCAACTGTGTGCCCTAAGGTATATATCGGTCAGACAGGTCGTACGTTTCAACGGCGCATTCAAGAACATGAGATGCATTTTTCGAAAAAGAAAACAGATTCAACATACGCCAACCATGAATTATAGAAGAAAACCATAGTTTTGATGATAATTTCGAAATTCTACACGTAGAAAATATAGGAATGAAACTCAATCATTTTCAATCATTAGAAATCAAGAAACTAAAAAATTTTGACATTTCACTTAACGATCAGTTAGACCTCAATAGTTCACCACTGTTGAATTTGTTTTCTTAGTAGGTAATACTATGTATTAAATTGTTTTGTCCCATTAACCTGATCAGAATCTTCAGGAAGAGCGATTTTTTTAGAATGAATTAGTGAATGTTGTTCCGCCACCAAAAGTTCAAAATGTTCCTTCACCAAAAATGAAGATGTTCGTTTATCCTTCGGATAACTATACAATGCTTTTTTATATCCAGAGACACGACAGTGTCTTGCACCACGTATACTTGTATTTGAATTCATCAACACACTTTTTTTATTTTGTGCACTTCAGGGATTCAAAGGGTACCTTTATTTCCTATTTTGGAGGAAAAAAGAGGTACACAATGACAATGCTTCAAGCTTCTTTGACTTCTCCAAGAAATCTGCTAGCAGTACCTTTTCTTCTGTACATTTTTTACGTTCCGTTCTTTGCACCAATTTTTTAAACTCAGATAACTTTTTTTCATATTCTCCAATCTTTCAATCGATGTGGCGTGTTTGACTAATATTTATTCATTTATATTTTACTTAGTTACTTGGGTTACTTGTCATAACACACCAAGATTTTCAGATGCCGATAACAATCATGATCTGGATCACTATAGTTCCTGAGGTCGTTGAAATGGTAACAATCAGCCCAATCAAGTTTTAGAAATTGAATAACTACCGTTCAGTAGCATCGGAGAACACCTCCTTTGGCAATGTGTTCCAGAGCCTTGCTGTTCGCTGGATGAACGAGTCTTTGGAAAGAGATGTTCTGCAGGACTCCAAAGTGACCACGAAGGGGTGCGAAGCCTCAACTCGAGGGGTTAGTCTCGCGGGGACTGCCAAGGAAGGAACAATTGTTGATATTTCAGAAGAACATCGTCCATGAAAATATCTATAAAATAGAGCCAGATCGCCAACTTTTCTACGGTGTTCCAGAGAAGTGAGTGAATTTGTGAGCTAGGCATCACCCACGAGACGAATTGCTCTTTTTTGGACAGAATCCAACAGTTTCAGGGTATGTTTGGGTGCTGCACTCCAAATATGGAAACATTATTCCAGGACAGGTCGGATCTGTGCCTTATAGATCATAAGCAGCTGACTGGAAGTGAAATAGCTCCTGGCCCGAAACAGAAAACCAAGTTTTTGGGATGCGTTTTTAGCAATTGATCTCACGTGATTTTCCCAAGAAAGGTTATTGCTGATAGTAATACCAAGCTTCGAAATGGATGTCTTCAAAGGTATGGTTACCCCAGACACGCTTATCTTGGGCACAATGAGATCGGCCTTTCTATAGAAAAAAGGTATGCTTGTGTTTTGTTTGCTATGAACTACCAAGTTATTGGATCCCCATTCGGGAATTGTTGCCAAAAGTCCATATTTATGTTGTCAACATTTCTCCCACGTTCGTTTCTGATTTGCTTGGCTGGTATTGGAGCCCTGGAAGAGAAGGCGGTATGGAGGGTACTATCATCCGCGAAGCTGTGTACTGGACATGAAGTTGCTTCCAACAAATCGTCGATATGGAGTAGAAATAGTGTTGGTGCTAGAATTGATCCTTGCGGAACACCAGCATTTATGATAAGAGAGTCAGATGAAACTCCGTCGACCACTACATGGAAGAGACCTGTTTGAGAGAAAACTAGCTAGCAGAGAACATAGCTGAGAAGGCAAGCCATAGGATGGAAGCTTGGCTAGGAGTCCGTGGTGCCAGACTCGATCGAATGCCTTGGAGATATCAAGTGCCACGGCTAAGGATTCACCATATTTTCCAAGATTGGAAGTGATCGATCATAACAGCATACCAATTTTCAAGTTCTACATCCAACTGCGAGTTGAAAAACTTCTAATGTTTGGCATTAGATAGATAGATAGATAGATATCCTTTATTAGTTCCTTTAAAATACCTTTTTAGGTGTAGAACATGTCAATATGATCAAGTATATAATAATAAAAATAATAATAATAATAATAATGATAAAAAAACAATGAATTGAAATCATGAATATCATACCTACATTAAAAACAGAAGAAAGTGTGAGTATATAAATAAGCTTGGTGATGAATCACTCATTGTCTACATCTGAAGGTAAAAAAAAAAAAACAAAAACAAACA